TGCTCATCGTGGGCCAATAAGCCACTGCTTTACCGGATAAGCACGGGAATGTTTCATTTTAAGGGGCGCAGCTAAACGCTTAAGCGGGTGCCTGGAAGGGACTGTCCCAAAGCTAATGAAACGGCGTCACAGCCCGTCTGGGAAGAACAGGGCGCAGAGCAGCGGGGAAGGTGGGGGGTGGGGAAAGGTGGGGACTCTGAACAGTGCGCTGAGCCTCACGAATGGTCACGAGACGCCGACGCGACCACTGCAACGAGAATTCCCAGAGGATAAGCTGCGGGCACTCTGGAGGTGAGTCGGGGATGCCAATAAGAATTGGGGAAAATGGTCAGAAAATGTCACCTTCCGAAAAGAAAACGGGCAAAAAGTCAAATTAACCACCCATGCTGCCTGCTGGCTTTTTTCACCTTTTTTTTTTTTTTTTTTTAGCATATTCAGAAGTGTGAACATCTAGTGTGCAGTGCACACAGTGTTCGCAAAGCGTGTGGAAGATTTAACCACAGATCAACCACAGACAGCAGAGTCATCACAAGGCAAAAAAATAAGAAACCATAAAAATTTAAAGCAACTTTATGGTGAATACTACCAGTAGAAATAACTAACAAAAAAAAGAAATCAATAATGGCTTAAAAAATGTACATGGTAAAAAATTAAATCACCAGGAAAATTTGACTTAGTGGATATAACAGTTCTGTAAGAAAAATTCATATTGCAATGCTCGTGATATAAAAAACCAGTTATAAATTTTATGCAGAGAAAGCAATTACTCCGATAAAAATAATTTTAGTAAAATAAAAATGTAAGTGGGAAAAATTGGAAATGGTTTAGCTTTGCAATAGAGAAAATTGACTATGGTCTTAAATCGGTGTAATAGTGTTCTCGGAAAGTATTTTCTTCAACAGAAATCCATTGGTGCTGTTAGAATTGCAATGATAATATTTCTACTGTGAAACACAGAATGAAGAGTCTTTGGGGGGAAAAGTCTGGCAAGTGGAATAGGTGCTGACACCATCCTGTCCCCGTGGAAGTCCTCCCGGGCCCTGGGCTCTCTGGCCAGTGCAGACGGGACTGCCAGCAGGGCCTGTGCTTCTCCAGCACCCAGAGCCACGGAGCCGCCTTCCTAACCCTCTCCTCCCGGGAGGTCCACTCTGAGGGCTAATTTAGGAATCAGTGTGAGATAAACTTCAGTCTTAGAAATAGTGATTAGCTCTGTGTACTACAAGAACACGTTTTGTATGAGAATTTGACCAAAAGAGTAGGGGTGGGAAGATGAGAGAGGAAGAAGGAAGAGGAGGAAAAGAGAAGGAGGAGAGGAAAAGGAGAGGAGGGGGAGGAGAGGTGAAGATGGAGGAGGAGGGGAGGGGGAGAAGTAAGAGGGAGGGCTGGAGGAAGAGAGGGACAAAGAGAGAGGGAGGGCAAGAGACAGAGAGGAGGGACACACACACACACACACACACACACACACACACACACCGCACTGTCTGGCAGAGTGGTGTTCCAGCCTGGTAGCAAAAGGTGCCCAGTGAACAGTGTTCAGACTCTGCCACAGCGCAGGCGACTTTTTAAAGTCCACCCAGCTTTCTTGGATCCGATTCCACCTCCCCGAGCAGGATCACTTCTTGGTGTCGGGGTTACCTTGTCACAGGAGAGTTTCCTAAGTAACTCGCCTTGTTTTGGTCCCATTTCTGCCCCTGGTTGACTTCCTGGCTTTCGCTTCCTGAGGAGGGTCGGGGGCCGGGAAAGACGGTGCACGGTGCACGCGGGCGTGAGCAGAGCGAGGCCCACTGCGGTGCTGCCTGGAGAGGTCTATCTCTAATCGAAACAAAACGCTCTGATCCCAAACCAGTCGCTGAGTGCCTGGCTGTCCGAGTGAACTAAAGAAATGGAGTTTCCGAGACTCGTTTCCAAGCAGGACTCCAGGGACCCATCGAGGCCTCCCTGGGCCCCTGCTGCCCTTCTTTGCTGTCTATTTGGTGACAATATAAGTTACTGGGAAAATTCTTTCAGAAAAAAACTGTGTAAGGCGTTTCAGGAGACTTGTCAAGACTGAGACACACAGCCTCCTCCTCGCCAGGAGGCTGAAGAAAGAGTGTTCAGATCCTCGGCAAACCTTTAACAAGTTACCCAGAGGGCTGACTTCAGGCGGGTATTATGGGCTTCTAGAAGTAGAGGTATTCTACAAATAATTAGAATTAATAACCCTAATAATAAAAAGTTTCTAAGTCTCATTTTTCATGTTTTTAGTTAGGTAGCACAAAATAAATGTGCTAAGATTCCATTGAAACATAATGTTATTTTCCACAGAAACACATGGAGGGCTCGATATGAAGTATTAGACCCCCACTACCAGCGCTGCCATCCATTCCTACCACATGGCGGGCCGGTTTTTACGAGAATCTATATTTGCGGAAGGTGAAGAGAGAGCTGGGTGGGGAAAGAGGATAATTTCTCTTAGAAAAGTACTACCATTCTCTGAGCTAACGTGGCAAGAACGCTACAGGATGTGTGGCATGGTCCCCATTTACGGATGAGAACAGGAGGTATGACATTCAGAGGTGCAGACCAGCCTAGGGTCACACAGCTCAGAGCGGGGAGCCCATCTTCCTCCTCTCTCCTTCCCCTCTCCCTCCTTTATAGCTTTGGCGGATGTACTGTGTTATAACTTACACACCGTAATAGTGTAGTTGTGATAGTGTAGTATCCATTACAAATGTGTAGTAGAATGGTTTTAGCAAATTTATTATCACTGCAACCTAATTTTAGGTCATTTTCATTACTCCAAACAGTCCTGGCATGTCTGTGTGCATCAACCCTCATCCCCCCAGCCCCCAGCCCAGGCCGTCACCAACCTGCTTTCTCTCTCTAAAGATCTGCCCTTTCTGGACATTTCATGTAAACAGAATCATATAAGCACAAAACATAGTCTTCCGATCTGGCCTCTTTCACTTCGCATAACGTTTTAAGGTTCACCCATGTTGTAGCTACGTGCTCATGTGATGTGGCACAGACGATGCAGTTTCTATAGGTGAGTCCTGTTCCCTGGAGGACACTGGGCCTGAGCCCCCTCCCTCCCCTCTGCCATGTCAACCTGGAAAGAACGAGGGCTGAGACTAGGAAACCTGGGTTCGAGGCTCTGGCTCGGCCACTTTCTCCCATTTAACTTCTTCCCCACAAACGTGCTTGGAAGTGATCAAGTTCAATGATAGCCTTTATAAATTATTAATGTGCTAGAAATGCAAAGCCTGAAAGCATGAATTATTTGAAATCCCAAGATGCAATGACTAAGAAGGAGCTGTATTTATCCCCAGGGGAAGAAAGGGATTTTCCTCCTCCTTCTTCCCTGCCTCAGGACACAAGAAGGCTGCTTCCCACCCGACTACTCGCCATGCACTCCCACCAGCAACTCCTTTACCGCTCTCCTCCCAGGAGACAGAGACGAAGGATGGAGGCAGAAGCTCAGAGAAGGACACAGCTGTGCCTCGGGGCCTGGGGATGGTGGACCAGAGCAGACGCTCTCTACTGAGGCCCAGACCCGCACCCATTGCCCTGCGGCAAGGGGATCTTTCAGCCGAGTGAGGCTGGGCACGGGGCCCGGGCGGCGGGGGAGCAGGGAGAGGACGTCTGCCCACGGTTTCTCATGCGTCACCTGACATTCACGGAGCCCTCACTGCCCTCCGCCACTCCTGTCAATTATCACCACGCCCCCCAACGCTACACATTCACAAATGCACACTTCCCAGAAAAAGCTCTCATCTAATAGAAAAAAGGACTTTAAAAGTTTGTTGTTCAAGGGATTAGGATTTGTTTTAATAGCTTTCAAGTGGATTTCGGTAAACTTTTCATCATAGGATCTCATTATCTAAGGAAAACTAAAGCTATTCATCTCAATACATAGATCACAAATACGTAGCTTTGCTATGCTGTAATAAAGAGATTCTTTCTGGTCATGGGCCGGAGAAATGAGCCAGTAGTTTCAGATTTAGTTTACAGTTTAGTCTCAGTTTCCAGGTTTATACGATGGGGCCAGAGTTAGGCTACGACGATTACAAAAGAGCACTGAGCACAGGCACCGACCGCAGACCTGCAGGACTGGCGTGGACACCTGGGTTTCATGGAAACGGAGCTCAGTGGCGACGCTCGGTGAGGGGCACCACCAGCCGCCGCAGGGGCACCCGTCCTGTCTTACCTCTGACCACCTTCCATCCCACCTTCTACTCGGGTCATCCTGCGGACAGAGCGCGTGAAGACTTCGGGGACTCCGCCGCAGCTCCTCGTCCCCGTCAGCGCCCGGGCCCTCTCGCAGGGGCGCCTGTGGCTGGGCACGGGTGGGAGGGGACCGCGGCTAAGGGCACATCTTCGGGGTTACCTATTTGCCTTTCCAGGTCGGCGGCTTCATCAGGCGTGGCTCGCGGGAGGACGCCGGGGTCACTGAAGCTGGTGCGAAGCAGGGTCCCCATCACGAAGAAGAACAGGATGCCACCAACCACAGGAATGGCAGGCGTGATTTTCACTGCGAGGTACGGGCAGCTGCCAGCAGGTGGGAAGGCGGGGGTGGGGGGGAGAGAAAGGAAGGTAACATCAGTAATCAGCAGTACGCAGTCTAGATTTTCCAAGAAGCTAAAGGCCTCTTTGGAGAAGCGAAATTGATTTCCATTAAAAATTCATCTATGCTCAGCATTTACATTTGGGGAGCCTACCATTCTCTCCCGCAGACGGTGTAACCCTCCCTCCCAGCCACAACCAGCCAGGCCCCCGGCTCGCACAGCGCCTCCCGCACAGACGCTGGTGGGAGAATGGGAACAGCCCTGCTGTCGGATCAACACCGGACGCACAGACACAGCCCATGGGTCTGTGACCTTCCTCCCATCCCTGGAGACACCAGAATGAGCTGGCCTTTCCTCACTGGGTCACACAACCTGGGGCTCAAGATGCTGAGAAATGCAGAGTCACCCTCAAAAGGCAAAAAAAGATTTTTTAATCAATATCTTTGGAGTTTATCTATTAAAAGAGGTTAATGAGCCATGGAAATGAACTTGCAACCAGTCTCCAGAAAGAATGAAAGGGGGTTCGGTGGCTGGGATATAATAACCGCCTGCTCTTCAGGAAGGATTGGAGCTACCATTGCTGAGCATGGCCAACTCATTCTGGGAAGCCCTTCGCTGTCCTCCAGCCCATCACGAAGAAGAGGATGCCACCAGGAATGGCAGGGGTGATTCCCACTGTGAGCTGACGTGCAGCCAGGGCGGTGGTGGCCAGGGAAAGGTCCTTGGACAGACTCAAGTCCAGGCCAGCAGGCTCTGGGGGCCAGGAGCCAGGGCAGCTGTGTGCACCATGCCCTGGCCCACGGTCGCTGCCCCCTGACGCCACAGAGGGCGAGAGAGGCCGAGTGAGAATTAGCTCAGTGCCTGAAGCTGAGTGAAGGACGGGGTCTGCGAGGCCGTGGTCATCTACTGTCACCACGCTCAGTGCCATCACGGGCGCCGAGGAGCACAGCACGCAATCACAGAGTTGTAGCAGCCAGAGTGAAAAGCGCCTCCCAGAGGCTCCACCTCATCTGTGACTCTCTTCTAGGTACTGAAGGCGAAACAGGGGCTGGAGAAGGATGAGGAGGTGACTGGGCTCAGTCGTGGGGGTGTTGGGGACCAGCACCCCACTCCCGTGCAGTGCTTACGGGGGGCGGCGGGTAAGGTGATGGGATGGCAAGGCGATGTCCAGGCCTCAAGGACCACAGGCCATGACCCCCTTTGCCAGGGCCAGACACTGGCGAGTTAGAGGCCGGGCCTTCAGGAGGATGGTGACGTGGACATAAGGGTGGTCACTGCACTGCAGGCCCAAGGCCTCGCCTGAATCCCCTGCTCTGAAGAAACCCAGAGGCGTCCCAACTACTCTAAGAAGGTGGACGGGGACCCCAAACACGGCCAGGCGGGACTTCCTGCCAGGCAGGTGGCCTCCAAAAGAGTCATGTGATTCAGAGACAAAAATATATGACATTTCTAACATCTCTTCCTCTCTACCACACCGACCACCTGCAGAAACTGAGCAAAACAAACAAACAACGTCATGTCACCTCATCCGGGCTGCCGGTTGTGACTTCTCGTCACAGGATTCATGGGAAACCATAACAAACCACTGTCATTCCTGCTCCAATTGGCCCGCCCAAACTCCCAGATACTTGGAGCCTTTTTAACATCCTCAGGGATTCTCATAGGAAAGCAAATTTGGCAAAGAGAGCAAGAAGATATAAAAAACTTGCCCTGGCTGGTTTGGTTCAGTGGACAGAGCATCGGCCTGCAGACTGAAGGGTCCCAGGTTTGATTCCAGTCAAGGGCACATGCCTGGGTTGCAGGCTCGATCCCCAGTAGGGGGGCGTGCAGGAGGCAGCAGATCAATGATTCTCTCTCATCATTGATGTTTTTCTCTCTCTCTCCCCTCTCCCTTCCCCTCTGAAATCAATAAAAATATATATTTTTAAAAAAGATATAAAGAACTTGCTGTGGGAAAATATATGTGAGAGAGTCTACCTAAAAAAAATCCCCTTTGGGGAAGTCATCACTTAAATTATGAAAAGGACTTTATAAATCCAACTAAGTCTGCTCTGCATAAAAACGGCGATTGCTGCCCTGGCTGGGTGGCTCAGTCGGTTGAAATGTCCCATACACCAAAAGGTCTTGGGTTCAATCCCCGGTCAGGGCATGTACAGGAGGCAACCAATCCATGTTTCTCTCTCACATCAATGTTCCTCTCCATCTCTCTCTCCCTCTAAAATTAATAAAAACGGAAAAGCTTCAAGTTAAATAAGGATTTAAGAAAGTGGCAAATAGCACTCGGTGTATACTCCTGGATTTGTGACGGGAATATTTTCCTGCACCTAGGAGTCCTGACAACGAGAAAGAAGATTGTAAAGGATGGCACCCGTCTCACGTGGGCTCGTGCAGAGCTGGCATTTCACCTTGAGACACGTGGAGAATAAAAGTCTGGTCAGAAAATGACCGTCTTCCCTTTAGAGACTCAATGTAAACTGACAATAAAAACCACATATATACTGCACCGAACTCGAAGTCCAACGTGGGGCTGCAGTGGGAGCAACACGTGAATCTGAAACACAACTTTCTCCGTCTCCCTTTCAGACCCGCCCCTGCCCCTGCCCCTGCATGAAGGCAGGTCCAGGGCTTTCCCGGTCATGAGACGAAGGGAACTAAAAGTGCACAGTCCCAGTGAACGTGGACACTTCTAACTCGATGAGTTAAACCTCCTCCTCGCACCCATCTGGCAGGTGCATCTGGCCCTCCGTGGCTCAGGGTGGGAAGTGGGGGCTGGAAAGTGCTGATCTGAACAGCTCCATCCCAGGTGGCTTTCGTATTGGGGGTCAACCAGATGTTTAAACTGCGCTTTGAGTCTGTGAGTTCTTCAGAGCCCCCACGGGACCCAAGTGTATTGCTCTGAGGCACCGTTGCCCTCCTTCTACCCAGAACCCACCCTTCTACCTACCTCTCTCTCTCTCTTTAAAAAATATATTTTTATTGATTTCAGAGAGGAAGGGAGAGGGAGAGATAGAAACATCAATGATGAGAGAGAATCACTGATCGGCTGCCTCATGCACACCCCTACTGTGGATTGAGCTCAGAACATGGGCATATGCCCTTGACCGGAATTGAACCTGGGACCCTTCAGTCTGCAGGCTGACACTCTCTCCACTGAGCCAAACCAGTTAGGGCCCAACCTCTCTCTTCTTTAAAAAATATCTTTTTTATTGATTTCAGAGAGGGAGAGAGATAGAAACATCAATGATGAGAGAGAATTATCGATCGGCTGTCGCCTGCATGCTCCCTACTGGGGATCGAGCCCGAAACCAGGGCATGTGCCCTGACCGGAAATCGAACTGTGACCTCCTAGGTCAATGCTCAACCACTGAGCCACTCCGGCCGGGCAACTCTCCCACATTTCTTTACCCCCCTCCCCCCACCCCCCGTTCCTGTCTTGTATAAAACCTGGTTGCACTCAATTCCTTGGCGCAGGCTTCCCTCACCAGGGCACAGCTGGAGCAGCCTCTTCAGCCCCTGCCCACCACAGGCTGCCCTCTCAGTCTGCCCACACACTGGCAGCTCTGTCCCACACGGCTCCGCTCAGAAGCCTGCAATCACCCCTTTTCCTGCCAAATCAAGTTCCAGCTCCTGGTCTGCCATCCATATCCTATTGCACGTGCCCGTCTCGTCCCTCCCCCACCCCCTCCTCCTCCTCCTCCTCTTCCTCCTCCTTCTCCTCTGTCCCACTCCCCTTTTCTACATTCGAGGGCAGGCGGACCTCTCAGCCTTCCCAAACAGCCCCCCGCCCACCCAGCCCCATCTCAGCTCCTTAAAGCCTCCCCAACGTTCAAGTTCCTCTAAAGACGCTGTGAGAAGCTGACCTTGGCTCTCCCCAAACAGGAGTGATGGCTTCTTTGTCTGGCCCTCCCTGATATGTTCGCTTGCCCCTCCCCTCCCTGTGGGACTGTGGCTCTTTGTGGACAGGCCTCCGGTGCCTGGCTGGGCTGGAAGCCCCGCAGGGCGAGACTCGCCACAGTGCGCCATGCATGGCAGGTGCCTGGTGAACACTTGTTGAACTCAATGAATGGGACCCACTGACCGACATTTACTGGAACATGGAGAAGAGGAAAGTGAAGTCAGCCGGCCCTGAACATCAACATGTGCCTGTGTCTGGGCTCGCTTCTCTGTCTCCCAAGCTTGCTGGGTCCCATGACTTTCTTCAAACAGGTGCAGAGGCTCTGCCTGTCCAGGAGGCTTCTATGGCCGAGTTTACAAGGTGTCTCCTTGGTTCCCTGAGTCGAGCATGTAAATGAACACATCCCAGCATTAGCTTGAACCTCTAACCCCTCCACGAGCTGAAGTTCTAGCAGATGAAACGCCTCATGTTGGTACAACTTGGTACAAGACGAGGTGCGCTGACAGTCCCCTGTCCTATCAGCCTCCAAGTGACAAAGAACCATGTCAGTTTCTCCTTGAAATTCTGGACAATGCTCTTTACAAAAGCAGCAGAATTCACGCCCCTCAGCAAACCCTGAGGCCAGAGCTACACACACCCCTTTGAGCTGCTGCTCGGAAAAGCAGGGCACGTCTGCAGTCCTTCTGGTAAAGAGGAGGCAGCAAGCGGGCCTGATCACTAGACCTCCAGAGGAGGCCAGGCCAGTGGGGGATCTCCGCCAGCAAGCCCTCAGCCACTGTGGGGCGACAGCCAAAGCATCACAAAGAGAGAAGAAAATTCCTAGCCCGAGTCCAGAGCACTCGGAATGGCTCCTTCCCATTTCTGAGCGACTGTGCCGGGAGCTCCGATCCCGAGTGGCATCTGCGAGGAGGAGCCCTCCTTCCCCGAGGCTCTGGGTTTGGTACAAGATGAGGCTGCAGCTGCCACAGCTATAGACACCAAGCGGAGTCCTCTTTCCGTCCGAGGAGCCGTGACCTACATACAGCCAGGGCCGCGCGGAAAAAGGCTACCAGCGTCTCAGTCTTCCTGAAGCTCAGCGGGAAAGTGGC